GTTGAATGTGGTGCAAAAGCCCTTGAAGTATAAAATTTCACTTAAAGGTTGGCGGTGCCACGCCTATTGTCCAATTTTGGCATCCGCTAGTATGAATCAATCCATGTCATATTAGATGTAAAATTTAATGTTTCTAACGTATTTGGTTACGCGCTTTGACTAGTTTTCAATTTCACACTGTCGCATGAGATGTCGAAAAGATTTGTCCTGATAAGTTTAGTAGTTTGTGAGATATATACATTAGACCTATTTAGGGGGCGGGGCCACACCCACTTTATAAAAACTTTTAAGCCCCAAATGTATCTCCCTATTGCGATTCATTGAACCAAATTACAGTTTTGTGTCTTAATTATTATTTGAGCATGCTTCAAATACGAGAGAAATATAGCAAACAGCAAACACGCCATATATTACAACTTCTCTTCGGCCACTACTAGCAGCAACACTTTTGGCATAACCATCCGCTTTCTGCTTAGCAACCATACTGTGGCTACAGTGTTTGGTTGCGGCTGCCACTGGTGTTGTTGTGGCCTTCCTCGAGCTTGGATTAGCTTCAGCACCCTTGCTAGTGCTAGTCTTTGTACCGGTTGTTTTCGAGCTCGAGCGCTGCTCTCTTCTCGGAACAACTAGTTCCGCCTATCTAAGACTATCTTATCACAAAGGGCGCCAGGTATCTATAAGCTCCGTTCGAGACTGGGCTCTTTAAAGGCCCCAGCCAGGTTGATTCTCAGAACGGGTCGCATGACACCTTCATCCAGCTTTTTCTGTACCCGCAATCATAGTAAGACTCTTCATCTGAATACTGTGCTATTGAGTAGCAACGAACAAAAAAAAAAGCCAGACCTTAACTAGATACCTCCCAACTGCAACAGTGGCGAACTGTTACCAAACCGCCTTCGTCGTAACACTGTGGTACTGCTGACAAGTGCGTAGCCAATGCTCATGCCAATTAAGTCGAGGTTTTGTAATAATTCTCCCTGTTTTTTTAATGCTGATTTGTATATATCAGAAATTCTGACCTTTAGAAGCTTCCTTGACTGCCTGCCTACAGGTAACAACTCTTCTATGTTTAAAAGTTTTCTGACTACGCTTTACTACATTACTCGGACAAAGTTTTTGAACTGATTTCTCCATATTTCCTTGCTTTCTCCGATACTGTGCCATATTATTGATCGCATAAAATCATAAAATTGATGTTGCAAAATGCATATGTACAGTAATTTCATTACCTTGATAGCGACATTTATGTTTAACAACATACTAACTATACCAATATATGTGTATGCATGTGTTTAGTCCTTATGTATGAGTATATCTGGTGCTTGAGCAGCTCATTTAATTTGCACTTCAGTGAAGCAAATCATTTATCCCAGCAAAAAAGCATAAGCTGCACCAACATGCAATTACATTTACACTAATACACGTGCATACATGTATACACCCCCTTGCATATTGGCCTGCTTTTGCACCCACACACACACTAACACAAACTAAAGTTGATCTCATATCAAAGTTTAGTTGCCTAACACACTCTCAGCTCGGCGCAAGTGCTTTAATTGAGAACATTTTGATGTCATAATTTTGAAGTATACTTTTAGGATGCTTAAATTACTTCAATCAACAATGGTCCGGCCACATGACCAGGGTTGGCTAGGGCTTGATGATGCGAATGAGGGTGGCTTGTGGCGGTGTTAAACTTGTATGCCACAACACTACAACTTTGCCAGCCAAAACATAACTCAGTCGTCTGTGATGCAACGTCGGGCACAGCAAACAAAGTTTTATGTAGAGTTCCTCACATTTCGGTACAAGTTTTCTACGTTAGCGACAGTGACGCTCAACGAGAGTTGTTTGAGGGGGAAGGCACTCACAAGCGCAGGGTTGACAAAACAGGCATTAGGGGACGTTTAGGTATTTAAATTTTGAAATATGTTGCAAATATTAAGTGTAGCTACGCACACACATCCATACGCTTATACTGCACACACACACACACACACAACTGCATAGTGCGACTGAAGTTTCTTTGCTGTATTTGCACTGCAACCGAGTGGATAATTGCATTCTCGATGTCTCCGTCGCATGCGTGAACTTTATTGTGTATGTGTGTATGTGTGTGTGTGGGTGTAGATTTAATAACCGTTATGTGATAGCATTCTCACACACAAAGTGCTCGAATGCGTGCCTACAGGGTACACACCAACTAGTGTAGCGATTTTCAATTCGAATTTGCTGTGGCTCCGGCATGTGAAACCCAATTTTGAAGTTGTTTGATTGGAACCAAATTAGTTCAAGGCAAAGTAAAATGGAAGCCAAAAAATGTTTAAAGGTAAACTATTTCGATCCAGTGCTGAATGTGGTTAGAGGGCGGTGATATGTCGTTGAGATAAACCAGTTTTATATTAACTTATTATGAATTTTGAATGATATTCGTATTTATAGTAGCATTTTTTTATGTTAAGTTAGGCAGCTATGGCTGAACCTCAAGATGGGATGCCACTTCGACTGCTATATAAAATCCTTTGTGAAGAAAAAAAAACTCCACTAATTAGAACTTAAAAGTTGTCTGATCGTCTTGAGTCAATCAGAAATGTGCTTAGACATAACTTCTTATTTATATTCTCGCTAGCTCGCTGCGATGGCAGAAGCTGTGAGATCCGTGATGTTTTAGCCTTAGTCTCGAAAAGACAAGACAGACAAGATAGTAGCCTTGAGATATTTCTAACCCGTCTTTTTCCCTACGGCTTCTACAATTGGCAGCCGGTAATATTCTTAGTTTTAGCGCATGGATATCGTTAGGGAAATTACCATTTAGAACAACGACGACTATGACGACTCATATTCTACTGATAGTGAGGCCGAGCATCCTTTTCTTATCAACTCATTTGGTTTGTCTGACACCCATACTCGATTTAACAAGATGACACTCGATGCCGTTGATAGTGAGGTTCTGTATTTCTTAACTAGGCTCGAATGCAGGGTTGATAGTTTGCTATCGCAATGGATAATAACTTATCTGAAGGCGGTGCTCCGCAGCTACAAATCTACGGCTACCTTACCAGTGAGTTTGGCTTAAACTACGCTACAAAACAAAAAGTGTTAGGAAGAGAATTGCCATTAGCCTCGAAATTAATGAAAATGGTAATGATAATGATAATGTTAACGGTAATGGTAATAGTAATGATATTAGGAATGGTAATGGTAATGGTTATAGTAAGGGTAAGGGTAATGGTGATAATAATGGGACTGATAATGGAAATAATAATGGTATTGGTGATTATAATGGTAATGGTAATGGTAATGAAACTGGTGGTAGTAATGCGATGGTAATGGTAATGAAAATGGTAATAATAATGATAATAGTTTATAATTTTCGAGAAAATATAAATAAGTTAAGAATATTTGGTTGCGCATGAAATTAGTGCAACTGTTTGAGGTTAGTTAAAACACTGCGATCCTCTAACTATTTTCGTATTTAAAACAAATATTTGAGTTTCGCTTTAAGCTAAAAACATATATACAAGATACACTACATTACATATTCGTATAAATATGTATGTATAGGTGTGCGCTTAAATATTTTACATATGTACAATATGTATATGTATATGTCTACTTAAAGTTTATTTATTCATTGGCGTACTGTATTGCATAAACAGGTAAAAGTTTTCAAAGTCTATCTTATTCGTGTCAACTCTTAAATCTCACCTGCCACTTGGCAGCCCCGAAGGGATTTATTGCGCTCACACAGACGCTTGCCATTTACGTGAGCCCGCCGACAAAAGGTCGCCTTTAAAACTTTATATGCCTTTTTATGTAGCATTTATAAGCGTATTTATGCTGATGTGCCTTTGTACGTGTGTGTGAGGTCACATATGTGTGTTGTTGTTGTGTGTGCCATCTTTCGCAGAGGCAACAGCGCCTTTAGGCATTTTTAACTTGCGTGCTTTCGCACTCAAATAAACCAGCTCGGTCGCCGGCGTATCACACACACACACACAACGCTCTTGTCATAAGACTCCGTTCGTCTTTAAAGAAAAGTGAGCTTTGGGCTATATTCTGTCATAAGTAAGTTTGTTCGAGTTCAGGTGACGAAGTATTTGCATTTTCTCGTTGTGAGTATGAAAGGTTGTGCGCTATGGTATATGAAAAGAATATTTCACCGGTCATGCGTTGCGAGTGTGGTTTGTCAAATGCACAATATACTGATGAAGTGTACATGTGTTGAAAGAAGGAAGTATCAAGTCGCAAGTGATGAAGCTCGGAGGCATTTTTTACTTTTATTTTATGTATTTAATCGTATAAATACCAAAATAGCTCTTCTCTTCTCAATATTTTATTCACAAATTTCAGGTCCCATTTCAATATATTATATTATATATAGGTATATACTCGTATAGTACATATACCAATATCAATATCAATATCAATATCTATTAGGGCGAGTAAAAAAATCGAATATAATTTTTTTGGCTTTGTACTCTGAAAAATAGTTTCTTAGACCTCTCTAAGAAAGTCTCTCCAAGCATGAGCTCTTATTGTATTTTGTAGTAAATTGAAAGCTTTACAAAAAAGATAGGTCTTAAACGATTTTTTCGTTTAAAGGATATTAGCGGTTGAAGTTTGATTATTTTAAGGAAATTTTTTTAAGCCTCCTCTGACTAACTTATATGATAATATAATATGATAAATATGCCTCAGTTTAATGTTAGTTAAGAGACACACTTTGCTGACAAGTTCTATAGAAGGGGAGTTGCGACTGAACCTTGTTTTACTTCGATTAAAATGATGGCTCTCTTAGTAGGTTTATCTTCAAAGTTATGTTTTTAAATTGTTCATAATAAAGTTAATAAGATTAATATACCTAGCATATACATATAAAGCCTTGTTTCTATATAATTATACATACCCATAATGACACAGCAACCATTACCCTTTTACTTTACAGTCTTCAATTTCTAGTATAGCCAGTGAACCTATATTTATATTTTAAACTGTGATTTATAAATTTATATTTATTTTTCGCATTTTGCACATATGTATTTGGAAAAAAAACTTTAGAAAACACTCGTTATTAGTAATTAAAAGGGAAATAAGCTAAATGACTGCTAGAAAAAGAAGAAATTAGTAATCTTATATAATAACGCTAACACCAGTGAGTAAACAATAAAGAGCGTCGTGTAGTGCAGCACTTTTAGCCTGAAAGAGAAAGAGAAAAAGAATTAATAAAAAGTTTATATATATGTACGAAAGCTTAAAGATAGTTATTAAAATAGCTTCAACTAATTTTCAAGAGAAAGCAGTTACTGTCAAAAGATCAACAATCTCTAATATCGAAAGAGAAAAACTGATTCTTTCAAAAAGGGTACAATACGCAAAATATATATATTTGTATTTGTTTATGTCATTATTTATGCTTTAATTATGGTAAATTATTCTTCCAATGCCAATACTTTTTTAATTTTTCGCTCACTTCTAATTTTGTTTTGTATAGCGTATTTAAAACTTACCGCGCATGACGTTTGATCGATTCCGGCACACTTCTAGGATCATCCTTCACCACATACAAACGTAACCCCACCAAACTGACTCGAAATAGTTCCTTCCAATCGAGATGACGCATATCGAAGCCGAATATTTGCTTATCGGCACCTTCCAGTTTCGCTGATAATGTGCGCACGTTATCGTTATCGAATTTGAAATCATTAGAACTGAAGTATTCCATCACAGAGCAGAATTTGTGTATTTTACGGTAGATTTTTAACATTCTGAAATGATAACGAAAGTTAGCAATTAATCGATTGTTGTTATTATAGTTTTAACAAAATATATTTATCAAACCTTGGTTTCTTTCCAACTACAACCATTGATAAATCCATAAACATCGCTGGCACTGTGTGATACAAAAAGGATAAGATCACAAATTGCCAACGCCAGGGTACGATTGTGAAGCGTGGATACCAAATCGATTTGCGCATTGGTATATTGCAGCCATATTCGAAACCATATTCCATATACTCCTTCCAAGTGACCATATTGTCGGCATCTGGCACATAGTTGTAGATGGGCGGTGTATCGTAACTGTAAGATAAAAATATTTCACGATAAATTTTGCTAATTCTTCTTCTCACTATCACTTACGTATTGCGTGCAATATCCCAGGCGCTAGCTAACAGCGCATTTACCGACAAGTCCACTGGCACTATGTTTGCTTTGTTGTCCACCTTCCCGCTAAAGACACGCAACACACCGGAGCCTATGCCGACGATTATGCCACACGGTCCATACATGTTATCGATCCAACCGGAAATGGGTTCTTTGTATGTGGTGATAACTGTAGCGGAGGAAGAATTTAAATATAAATGAAACTAATAACAATAGTTGGAAAAGCGTAAGGAGTGCTCCGAAGACTACACTTTTTAAAGTAGTACACAGCAGTTGAAGAACCCTCTTGAAGTGTGAGCGAGACCGACCAACAAGTTATTCATGTGGTTTACCAAATCAAAAGATTACAAGTTCATTGTTGTCTCAACCGCATCTCATGGCTTAACCCGATATCAGAAATAGTTTTAGTTGGGTTCCAAGCTACGTATTTTAAGTAAAGTTATATTCCATTTGATCTATCTAACCCCAGCCTTTGATTTGCTTCAGCAAGCACATACACATACTTCTTTCAGTGTTATGATCATACAATCCGATAAAAATTTCATTTTTTCATTATAGAAGACTCCCTGTACTCATTATACTTTTTGGTACCAAACTCGAACTTAAATTGTCCAGGCCTTTCTCTTTACTATCAAAACTAATTTGCTAGTGGTTTTAAGCTCCGATGTAATGAGAAGAATTTTTTTTAGGTAACGAAACCTACTGAGTATCGAAAGGTTAGAGACCTTCACTACCGTAGTGACAATCTTTAGAACTTCTTTCTCAAATGTAATAAATTTACTCTGGTGAAGTTCATGCATACACATATATATTTTGTACCGATAATTAAAAATGTAAAAGATCTCTATCTTTTAACAGTGTCTAGAAAGAGGTTTTCGAACTAGTTCCGCGGGTTAGTGTCGAATCACTGCATATATTCTTCTTTAATTTTCGGCGCATACTAAAGGAAAAGAAATAGTAAAATATTTCTGTTTTTTGTTACTATTTGACATGTGGTTTTCGAACCAATTTGGATCTAGTGTTGAACTGCCTGTATGAATAATTGATGTTATATAGCTCTATGTATTCTTTACGCTGAAAAACATTTTATGCTGATACTGAAAAGAAGTTGACTTGGTATTTGTATGGTTTGAGCTTTTCGAAAGAACTCTAGGTACATGGGTTGAATTCTTTATATTGATTGGTCTTGCTTAAGGAATTTTTAGCGATTTGGCATCAGGTTTTTGAACCGATTCTGAAAGAAACATTAATGCCGATGCAAGAGTAAAAGATTTTCAGAATTCCAACCATATCCAATACCAATTTTACCGTCCTGTATTGGACCATCTCTCCATTGGATTTAAAGATCTTTTTCAAGACCTCTATGTATTCATTGGATTTAAAGATATTTTCCAAGACCTGTATGTATTCACTAAACTGAAATTTTCGTCGGCCGAACTGAGTTCAGGTCGATTTTCTGCAGTAACAACAACAACAACCAACAAATGAAAAATTGTTTCGAAGAATGGTGGGTTAATATTTGACAACCCCCAGCAGACAACTTCTAATTATAATTCATCCCGATTTAACATTCTAGCAAAAAAAAAATTCAATCCTTAGAAAACTTGTTAACCAAATTTGCTATTTAATTTGCGGCACAAAGTCATCTCTTAAAACAACGCAAAAGCCAACCGCACTTGAGCCAGCAAATATCGCTTGTGCAATGAATTATTTTGCCATGGCTTGCTATCGACTCGTGTCATTCACAAATCCTTGGTAAAATCGTGCGGCATTATTACATTGAATTGGCCGATTTTACATAGTACAAGGATTACCACTTGTAGTATTACTGTTTGTCAACTGAGACGCCGGAATTGCCTGAAACTGAGGTGTGTGGCACCTGGACAATCGACTTTTTGCAATTTGTACCTTATAGCAAACGCTTATGGATGTGCTGACTGCTGGATTTGGTTTTAAGCAGCAACAACAATTACAAAACAACAGCAAATAGTAGAACAAAAATAACAACTAATAGAACAACAACAACAAGTAAAAAACAACAACAACAAGTTGTAGAACAACAAGTATACCAACAACCACATTCGCAGTACACGAAAGCAATTTCCTAGCTTTACTGCCGTGTCTTGTTTTTGTTGGTGTTGTCTATAGCAATCATTGTTGTTGTCGGAGAAATCACAATTTCATTAAATAAATCTTACCAATGCCTGGCCGAAATATCGTCACTGGCAATTTCTCCGCATAGTTTTGCACAATATCCTCCGCCAGGACCTTAGTGTATGTGTACGTGTTCGGATATCCTTTGATTATGGTCGCTGTCAGCTCGTTGAGCGTATGCTCATCGAGGCACTCGCCCAGCTTGCAGGCATTCTCACCGGTAATGGCGCTGTGATAGAAACGCTCCTGTATATAGCGATGATTGCAATGGGCGAAGGCTGTTGAGACGTGTACGAAGGCCTGTGGGTTGAAAGAGAGAAAAGAGAGAGAAAGAGATGGGAAGAGAAAGAAAAAAGTAAAATGAAATGAAAGTGAGATACTTGCGACAACAAAACGGTAAATAGAAACATAAATTGCTTGACACACACAAACACACACATACACACATGGATAGAAGTGTATATATAGACGCACGCAAAGTTTGTCAGGTGGCAACTGCATATGTATAGGTATGTATGTGAGTTTGCAACGGGCAAATTGAAATCGCTTCCTAATAACAAAGCCACACACGCCTACATACCATATACACACACATACAAACACAAGCACAGTGGACACTATCGAGTTTGCGGACGAAATTACCGAACCTCCAACATTTTACACAAAGTTTCAGCTGAATTCCACCTATTCTGTACAAATGTGCCGGTATATGTGTGTGTGTGTTTTTGTGCGTGCGTATCCTTTTAGCCAAGTATCGTTCAGCGATTACGGTCCGAGCTTACCTTCAAGTGGACAATCTCCTTCGCCAGCTGCAATATCTCCTTGGTGCCGTTCACATTTATGGCAATGGCCATTTTCAATTTCTCATCGAAACGCACCGTCGCCGCCCCATGAATGACAATGTTTACATTCTCCTTGATTAGCTCACGTTCGGTTTGCGTGATGCCCAACGCGGGCAGCGAGCAATCACCGCTGATGATAGTGATTTTCTGCCGATACTTGGGATTGCATTTTTTCAATTTCTCAAACACCTGGACGGCAAGCACGTTATGAAAAGTGTGGAAAAAAGAAACAAACACAGATACTAAAATAAATACTAATAATAATAAATGCCGAGAAATATTGAAAGAACAAAACAAACGGAAAAGGTAAAAATATTGGCTTATAAAATGCAAAAAAAGGTTCCTTTATACAAGCAAACGAAGTGTTTAGCTTGCGCTTTAGCCTATAACGCTATATAACTATATAAATATATGTTTGTATAAGCATCACTTACTGGATCATTGAACAGATCGTCGATGCGTGAGTAGACGTCTTTGCCCTTTTTGGTGCGAATGAGCAGATAAATTTGAGCCACTTCGGTGATGCGCAGCAATTTTTCTATTATGACTGGAAAATATGACAACAACAACAGAAAAAGGAATTAAATAAAATATATGAACAAAAGAAGGGTGAGATAAAAGTGCGTAGGTATTATTTACTTGTGGTTTCTATACCAAAAGTCATCAAATACAAACGGCGCGTAAAAATTACAAGGCAACTGCGGTTTTAGTTTAATAATTTTCTGCTAAACAAATTTTACATAAAACAAAATATGCGCTTTTATTACTTGATACTTATTTAGCAGCAATTTATTTAAAAAAATTACGAGCACAACAAAGAAATAAGCTGAAAGTGTATGTATCTGTTATGAGAGAGGCAGCTAATGTAGTGTGCGCCTAGGCTAAGTTTACGCTAAGGTGAACATGTGAAACACTTTTAACATTCTTTCAGTAATGACTGAATCTAAAATAACAATTGTGAGAATAATAATATACAATAGATGACACTAGTTAAGGCTAACTAAAGACTGTCACGTCATGGGTTGAGTATTCGAAACTCCGGAGCAGTATAAAATACATTATAGGCAGACACTTTTCAGTTAATGACCATAATATCGAAAAAATTAAAGAAACGGTCCTTCAAAATTGTGTGTTGTGTTAGCAGCAGAGAAATTCCATAAGATCTCAACATCTTTTATACAACGACTCAACATTATTTGGTTAGTGTTTTGGGTATAAAGCGTGTCATTGCTAGATTCATACCAATGATTTGCAAAACCTACGTCGAGTTGAGCTAACAAAAGAGATACTTGGTAAAATAGCTGAGGACCCCACAATCATCAAACGCATTCTTACTGCTGACGAGACGTAGTTTTGTGAATGTGACGTCGAAGCTATGCAACAATCTAGCCAATGGCTTTTCAAAAATTAGCCGAAACCAAAAAGACCAAAATTTACTAAAGGCTTTAAAGGTCCGCATCAAATTCGTTCGACTATTCATTAAATTGACAATCTAAGAAGATTTTAAATTACGCATCTGTAGACATAGTTTAAGGACATTGAAACACCTTACATTTATTGAAACGTTTCGCCGGATAACCAATTGAAATTCCCGAACTTCTAAGGATCGATATGAATCCTAAACATTATCAGCAGTACTATTTTAATCATACCATCAAAAAAATTTTGAGCTTGCTAGAACTGGTACTTTAGTCTCAATAACTGCGGTAAAGAGACAAAAACTCTTCGCTCTCAGCAAGGTCCACTTATCAATGGTTGTAGGAGTTTTAACTGAACACTGCGCGATTAGGGTTCATGCATGGGATAGAATCATCTCAACACTTCTTACGCGAAAGTCCTGCTTTTGCCAGATCAAGGCAAAAACTCCTCGGATCCCATACTTTTAAGCAGCCAAGTGAAATAGCGGAAATATAAATAAAACGCTTATGCATATTTGTGATAGGATCAGGACGTTTTTTCCGATTACTGATATCCTACAGCAGCAGTTTTAGTTTGTCATCACAAAAGGCTGTACATAACAGTCTAAGTGTGACCCCATCTCATTGCTGATGGATCAGCCGTCTAACCAAACCTACTTGTAACTTAACCGGCAGATAATAACTCTCCCAATAATTGAAAAATCTTGCCGTTAGAAGCAGTCGTAAACGCGACTGTCAAAGGAATGGCGTTCCATTAAAAATCTTTAGCGATTGCGATACCATGTATCTAACATTTAAAAGAGCAGTATTTAATAGTAACAATCAGTGAAAATCACAAGAGATGAGTTTTTAATCGGACTACCAATCCTTTAAGTATTCCATGAACTTGGGACTCTATTCGAAGCATTAAAACAAAAGTTTCGCGGATACACCAATTGCAGATGTTCAATTCACAAAGGTCTGTTCTAATACCCAATCGCCTAATCGTTTGGACACTTCATAAAGTTCACCATAAGCCGATGATGTGCGAGAAATTATTTATTTGCTACAAAGAAAATTGGTTTTAAATGGAATAAGCGCTGAAAGCCCAAAGGACATTAAACATCCCTTTAACAATATATATGTATATACATAGCTATGACAAGAAAAAGTCTGGATTTTATGATTCTCTAGTAGATGGTTCAACTTGAAGTTTTTTAAAAATTGGAAAATGTTACGCAGTACTTTTACCTTGAAAGGATAATATAATAAAATACTGTGTTAAAATTATAATTCGACGTCTTGAGAGCCGAACGGTATCATAAGCAAATTCGTTTATAATTTTCACATTTTGTCTGTGAAGACACATATCACAAAGCACCAATACTTACTTTTGCCAAAGAAACCGGTTCCGCCGGTGAGAAATACGCCCTTATCCTTGTAAAATTTCTGTATTGGCGACTCATCTGCAAAAGAAAAACAAAATCCAGAGCATAAATATAATAAACGAAATATTTCGTATAGTCAGCATTTAATATTAAAGAATAAATTGGTAAGCAAGCGAAAATAAATTCATGCTTGTGTCGGCGCTCACACACCCACACACACACGCGCACATTTATATATGATAGTCATATGTTACATTCTCATGTAGATGACTGCGACAAAAAATGCGCAGCAACTTAATGACACTTTCGAGGTACTCGTAAAATTATGCAAGTGCCTAGCTATCGCCACGTCAGCCGTCAGCCGTCACCCACCATCCACCATCCACTAGCCAGCGCTTCGCCTCTCCGTCGGTGATTCATTATGAATGCGCATTTTGGACGATGCAAATAAGTAATCAAATGGCAAAAGCGCTGAGCTGTGCTTGAATTTTTCTCGAATGCGTGCATTGCGTCTGCGCGTAATTACATGACACGATGATGCATAAGCACACACACAAACATGGGTGGTAAAGAATTGACTCGAATATAGTCTAGGGGATTAGTTATAGCAGGCTTCAACTAGTACAATATAATCTACTTTCTAATTATTTTTAAACTAGTACAAAAACGGCTTAAAAGGGGATACGAAGAACTTAGCCCTTGTTTTCCGAAATTACACCAGTAACTTTACGAAATTTAAGTGCGATTTTTGGTTATATATTGTGGTTATTATTCTTGGCCAATCCATCAACCAGCTATAGAGCAGACCTCTTATCTTTTCCACCTACAGAAGCTCCATTCCAATGTAGTGACGTATTCATCCTCTCAGTGAACCCCCTGACCTAGTTTTATTGTTGTCGTTGCGAGATTATCACTAAGTAAGGTCCCGTAAATATAAATCTATATCTCTCAGTCTATGAAGTCCTATTCAATCAAATTAACTGAGGGCTCAATAAAGGATCCGTTTTGTAAAGGTCCATAGAGTCTAAATGTAAGCAGTGTCCATTATTTAATCAGGTTTAGCATAAATATTATATAATATTACAGATCGAAATAAATAGGAAATCTGACAATTATGTAAACTATTTTTCAACTTAATATTTTTTATAATAATTCTGAAGAAACTGACAATTAGATCTCGGATTGATATTATAGGCTATAGCTGGAATTTTTTCTATCTTTGGATTGTCCTATTTAATGAGATTAGCGAGAGCTCGAAATCCCGTCCAACCCTGTTGGATAAAAATTTCAACTACTCATAGTTTTGTGGTAGATTTATGACAATTTCTTGGGTAACTGTGTTATATCTACGCTATCTACACAAATTTCCTGCTTGCGGAACATTATGATAGAGCTAAATCGTGTCTCATCGAAAAAACGCTTAAGAGTCCGGGCCAGAGCGGAGGTGGCTGCCATCAAGGTAGCAGTAGATGTACTGCTCCGAAGTGCAGCTTTCTTCAGAGAGGTGCTTTGAACTCGCTGACTGTTCGCTTAAACCTCGTCACGAAGTGCATGACCTCATTAGCAATATTTTCAAACGTATTCCATATCAGACATGCATGGATGCCCGGTCACAGCGGAATCGGCTCAAACTCCAAAGCCGATGAGCTTGCTAGGGAGGGCGAGCTTTTCCCAATTTCATCAGATTGGAAGCAAGTTGGTTATCCGATGTTGTCTTGTCTTCTAGCGTTGAAATTTTGGATCCCCATGCTGGTCAACAACGAGAACTTGTGCGACTGCGAGATCCTTCTGACTCGAGGTAACCATAAGAGGTCCTCCGAACTCGTCTCTCCGAACCTCTAACGCCACTTGCGAACCTAGCCAAGTTTCTGGAATTGATATTAACCGCCTTAATAAATTTGTGATAAGCTCAAAACACTTCATATATCTATGAGCATCTGGTGATCGACTGGTGTTTATGGGTAACACAAAGTACGACTATTATCTATCCAATGAATTCCATCAATTTAGGATCAACCCTACTACAGACCTGTTTCAGACAAGAAGGCTCTTAGTTATCAATCAGTCCTTGCTTAAGTCCGCGCTATCGTAGAAATACATTATTATCGTTATCTTTACATCGTTGTAGAGATCATATGAACAGATCATAAAACGTTTTTTTTCATATCGGAACATCGTTTCAAAGCACTTCAGCGTTGTTCAGGGTTCGACGACTCATAAAAGATGACAACTGAATCAAGAGAGAATATCAGAGTAGACGTTTCGGTCCATAACATAGAGGTGTGGTCAAAATAGTATGGCATATATTTTTACATAAATAGTGGAGCTTCAAAAATTTACGCTACGTGAAATACATAAATGGAGACTATCGAAGGCTCCATTTTCTCTTAACAAAGCTAATTACAGTTCGCTCGAGTCACATTCCAATTCATTGCTGGGTTCGTGTGCTCATAATATGTGCGCCATTAAATCTATTCGCTGATTGACTGCTTGAATGAGTAAAACTGACAAACTTGACATCGAAAGTGGCGAATTTTTTTACACGCTTACAATACTCACAAGCTTACAAAAGTTCACACACGTGCGTACCCTCATCCGCGCGCCATCTGCTCATGTGTGCAATAATTTCGTCTGGTCTGGTCGTCACTCTGACGTTTTCTTTGTTCATTATTGTCATCATGATGACACCATAAATTATAAGTGGCCAAAGCGTTTGTTGACAAATATATACAACAAATATTGACGCGATTGTTGTTGTAGTTACTGTTGACATTGCTTTAACTGTACGCAAATACAAGCAACGCCCATAGATTGTTGCTGTGCATATTACGACCGTTGGATCAGGAGTTAATACTCATCACCTGCATTCTCTTAGCGTATCTGCAACTCCCCGCGTAGCAATTATCTGTGACAGTTTGTGGCTTTTTGCGCGTCACACGAAGCGGCAATTTAGCAGGGGTTTTATTCCCACACAGTTTTGGGGTTAATATAATATGTAGTTGCTTGTGAAAGAATAGAGGGTATTTTTTAGGAAACGTTTTTTTAAATCAACTTAATTGATTCCTTTTCGAAGAGAGATGTCTGTTAGGAAAATCGATTTCTTTAATGGTGCGCTTTCGCATTATTGAGAGTTAATAAATAATGCTAATTACTCCTTTAGTAGATGGTAACACCGGTACTTTAGAGGAGATTTCGGTACAGTGTTTTCAGGTATCCTCAGATGGATCGATATCTGAATCCAATACAGCACGATAAGTTTATAGTTTGCAGGATATTACAAATGGATTTGAGTTCAATTCAACATTTTGCAGGAGACTAAAGAATAACTTTTTAGAAGAAATTCAACTTATTGAGGAAGAAGTAAAGAATTGTTGCACTTTTGCTCGAGTTCTTAAGCCACTCGGTACCAGATATGTATCAGAACTAAAAATATTTTATGGTTTTGGTGAAATTTTCAGACTAATAAAGATTAGATAACAAAGCCCATCATCTGACTAGGTTCTACGTCATATGCAGAAAGATTGGGATCCAACCGGAAAGTAAAGAAAATCTATAGCTAAACCCGGAACCTGTCTAGTGGATCGATACCCAAATAATTAATTCTGAGTTTTGTAAGATTAGCTGGCATCCTTCCACCAATCGACGACCAAAAGAAACTGAGTTACGTATTATTAGGTTTATGTAATCGTAGCGGGGTCAACTATGTGATCAGGTTTTGCAAAAACATATGATTTTTTCCGAATTTTGTAGTTTTACTCAGCAGCTCTTAAGCGGATTGGAATCCATACTAAATATTTGGTTAGAATTCCTGGATAGCTTTGAACTCAGAGGCAAGCAAGTAATTTCTCAGAAAATGTGAGGGCAAATGCATCGCAATTAGAGCAGAGCCAATAATATAAGCAGGGTTTGCAGTACACTTGTGCGGGACCTAGGGTATACAGAGTTAATTTTAAGGTCAAGTTTTTTAAGAATTTTATGACGAATGGGTACTAACCGTAAACAGCTCATCATTCAATCTAGTTCACTCCTCAATACTCAATACTGAGATCCACTTGAATCAACATAGGTCAAGGATATTAAGCCATTAGATTATGGTTCGTAACTAGATGATATGCTTATAGATAGATAGATATACATATTAATATATATGTTGGGGAATTTGATTGAGCAATGTGCTATAAATGAGAAAATTAGGGTATATCCAACCAATAAATAAAAATTCTTCTGTGTTCTGGAAAGCGCTTACGGTCACAGCGGAACCGTAGAACTCATTCAACAACGTCGCGTTACAACATTTATTTTTTCCCGCGCGGGTTAGCCTCAACATGTGCCTTACAACGAAACTTCTGTTATTTCTACCATGAGCTTCATTGGCTGAGTGTCAGATGGTCACTGAACGCTCCCAAAGCCATTCATCAACACCAAAATTTGTGTGAAGAATGTGTGGAGGGGACGGTCTCTGAGCCATGAAGTGGAAAACCCAATTTCGTCAATCAACAACTGGCCGGGACTGTCTGCGTATGCGCCCGCGCCGCGAAGACTCCTATTAACGCAGTTCTTTGCAGTGTTATTGTCACCGCGAAGCTCCGCTAATGCAGGTTACAGCGCGCCATCGATACCGTTAATCACAAACATGTGCGTGCCAGCCCGAGCATAAACGCGTTTGGCTACAACAACAATAACGACGCCGCTTTTGGCAGTTTCGCGATGCCATCAACACTTGCCACCACACCGCGGCACATGTGCAGCATGCAGACACTTGAAATTAGCATTAAAACGCGACACAGCTGCTTAGCTGGCAAATTACAATAACAACAACATTGGCAATTACAATGTAACAAACGTTTTGACGCGTCGAGTGCCTCACACACGCACACACATATACAGACCTATCTATATGCATACTTGTATCTCCGCATTTGTTTGCAAACATCTGCGAAATTACAAGCAGCTACAACAACTACAACAGCGACAACGCCGACAAGGAAAAAGCCCACAACCAGCTATAACCAGGCAAAGCTTCAGTCAATCAACAATCACATTGAGCGCATCAGCGACGACAATGGCGTACACATGTTAACGGTACAATTGCAGCAGGCATCCAGCAGACAGCCGCGCAGCCGAGCATATCAGCGAGTGGCCTTGTATAACCGACAACAAAGCGCATGCAGACAGTCTGCAGTTGGCGGGCACCCGCTATCGGCCAGATAACCAGCGTCAACCACGTTAAGTACGGATGCCATGAAACAACAACTGCGCTGCCACATACAGGCACCGTATAAGCACATACATATGTATGTGTACTCGTAAGCAGGCAATTGTTGGTGTTGCATTTTGGTTATCATAAATGTTGCGGTTCTCGCCGCTAACATTGTTGTTGTCGTTGTTGGTGTTGTTTTTGTTGTCCATCGCTTGCTTGAAGTGCTTTTGTGTTTGCCTATGCTAATTGGCTTAATGCATTTCGAGCACTCTCCAAGTCGCCCACTCGACGTTGCCAGCTGAGAGGTTAGCTTGGAGTGGGTAAAGCGGCGACACACTCGAGCGCCGAGGATGTGCATAACAATGGTGCAGCAATCTAGCTGAGTGAGAGTTTTTTCTGTGTTTTTTTTGTTCATTTTTTTTTTTGCTGTTTGTCGCACATTATGTCCTTAGGGTTGCACCCACTAACGCTTCTGTGGTTTTATTAGTTTTTCAACGCGTTGAAGCGTCGATTTTTATTAATGGAAATATTTAACGCCTTCACAACGGATTTCATGCAGTTTTCAGCAACGATTGCATAACGTATATATTTCTGTTAATTAAATTTAATACGTAGTTATGAGCAGCATCTTGCGGAGAAAAGAACGTGTGCAAAATTTCAGATCGATATCTCAAAAACTGAGTGACTAGCTTGCGTATAAATCTTACAGACAGATAGACAGGCAGACAGCTGGGCTAAATCGACTCAGCTTGTCACGCTGGTCACTTATGATATGTACATATATATTTCATAAGCTTCCGGATGCTTCCTTCTGGGTGTTACAAATCTCGTGGTAAATCGGGCTATATTGTCGAGAGTATACAAATTAAAAATTTACTCAAATTTATGCAAGTTGAAATCTGAATCAAAGGGGCACTAAAAATTTTTTAATATACATTATACTGAACTTGTAAACAGCTCTCTTTTTCAAATTTCTACTCAAATTTTAAATTTAATTTTCACTCAATTTTAGCTCGATTCGAACATCCACACAAGCCCAACAGCAACAGCAGCAAAATTTTCTGGTCAGCAAATGTCGTCTTGAAGCCAGCTTCTTGAGCGTTTGAGGACGGCAGCGACATATTATATCAAACAGCCGATACACACAGTTTCGTTGTTGCCACACTAAAACCTCTCGCTTCAATGAAATTTGAATATTTTGTTCAAAGTGGAATTTTTGTGCAAATACAGGTTGTTTGACAAGTTGGTTGTTTGACAAGTTGGAAATAGCACTACTAGCTCCAATTTTTTTTCTCAAGTTGGTACATCTGTCGTGAGAACACATGCAAAGTTACAAGTCATTCTGTGAATTAATTCTTTATTTACAAGCCATTGGAAGTTGACGTGTCAGAGTATTTCTTTTAATATGGAAAAAATTGTATATTGAGCAGTGATCAGATTTTTTGTTATTGTTAAAGACACAATTCAACAAATTGAAGTATGAATTGCTTGAGCATTCATATTCACCATCCATATTCACCAGATTTGGCTGCCAGCGACTACTACCAGAGACCTGAAAGAATTTCTTTGTTGGAAAGCGTTTTTCATCGAATGAAGAAGCTATTACAGCCGTAGACGAGTATTTTGCAGAGCTGCTGGAAAGTCATTATTGGGATGGCATAAAATTATTGGAGAATCATTGGAGTAAGTGCATTGAAGTTAAGGGAGAATGAATAAAAAACATATTTCAAAAATAACTTTTTACTCAACCATTGTATCATAATATTCTAATTGGAATTCAGACTTAAAAGGAATATTAAACATTTAATAATTATTGAAAGCAGTTCAGCTCTATGTAGCATGCACTCAAAACAAAATTTAAAATCCAATTACCACTTAAAATTGTAACCTAAATTGAAATTCAGACTAAAAAAAAAACAAATTATTCTCATCAGAATTTTAAATATGAGTGAAATAATCAGCGCTCGGTAATAGTTTAACTCATTACACTTCATAAGTCAAAAATATAAAATAAATATCTAATAAATAAATCTTTAAATGCAAGTTGTTACTGCAGTTTTGACACAAATTTTTGTAACTAATTTAATTAACATTAAATCTATATAATTTTTAGTCACAATTTAAGTACGCACTTAAGTGCAATTAAACTCCGTAAGTTTTTGATTCGAATGTAGTTTATATTCTTTGCCCTAAGCCACTTCGCTTTCCATGAAAATTAATAAACTCCAATTTATACACTCGACCTCAACTTTCACTGCCTCTTAATACTTGTATATAGTTGACTTTCTTATAAAAGTTATTGTAGAAATTTGAGTTCAACCAACTATGTAGAACTAATTATAAACCCATACATTTACTTAGTAACACGTTTAGACTAAGCTTAAGCTATAATTAATACTAATGGTAATATGATTTCAATTAAGACTCATATAAAATTTTGTAAAACAAAAAACTCAATTCAAATATTTTAAGTAATAAACGTAACTTACATTTAAATACACACAAATATGCCCACTCAAAATCAAATTTGCTTTTACTTAAATGAAATATTTAAAGAAATAAAACTAACTTCAATTTGGGTATACTAAAAACCACTGCAAATACTTTAAAAAAAAAAATTAAAATCAAAACTCCAACTTAAACTCCAACTCTCAACTTCTGCAACTCACTCATTGATCAGCTCAACTAACATCAGCACCATTTTAATACAATAAACTTTTATGGTATAAACTCCATTAGTTTTCAGCAACCTGTCAAGCGTAAGCAAAAATATGAGTACATCAGCCTGAAAATCTGAATTTTTAGTCAATTTTTTTAGCACATTTAGTCAGACATTTCACTTCATATTTTTCGACAGCTTGAAAGTTCAGACAGATTTTACGCCAACTACAACATGTTTATTATTTTGGCATACTTTTTATGTGCTTTTTTGTTGTTTTCTCAGCCATTGTCGCTGTGCTGTCTCATCATTTATCACTCAAAAGCGCGCGCTATACAAAAATACACAGCGCTGTGGTTGAGCAGCTTTGGGTGGGGGAGAGGAAACGCGCGAAGGCAGAATAAAAGCTAAGCGCACTTTTTCGCCGAAAGCAGCCATCAGCGGCGCTGAAGTTATTGTCACCAGCCATTAGCACTGTTGTTATTATTGCTATTACTATTATGCTTGTTGTTGTTGTTGCTGTTTTACCATATATACATGCATATACTAAAACTTACACACAATAGAGAACATATTTTCACTTGTTATGCCACAGTGATACTTTGTTGTCGTTGTTGCTGTTATTGTTGTATGTAGTTGTTTTCTTCTTTTTTTTTGGCGTCATTCGCGCTTTTACTACAAATTGTCAACAATGTCACAGTGTTGTTGTTGCACACAAGTGACGCTCAGATTAACCCGCACCCAATTCGCCGGAGTCTATTAAATTTACATTTCGCTTGCGCACAGTTTGTTTGTTGTTGTTGGTTTTCACGTATAAATATTTAAGTGTTGTTGTACTTACCTAAGACGGGCGTAATAAACTGATCCTCTATACTGGAGAATTCCTTTATGTTGTTGTTCATTTCTACTTGAGTTGATTAGGGTATTTTATCTTGAAGTTCGGAGTGATGTTTGGAATCAAATATTTGCAAAGATCTGGAATATATAAAAAAATAGCATAAATCGTATCTGTTGTTTTTTAAGCAATTACTCAAAACACCATAACGTAATATTCTTCTTAGTACACATACCTATTTAATAGCTCGAAAAAAAATATATGAACGTTAATCTTCTCTTTCAAAAAAAGATCTCATAAGATCCAAAGTTTTTCGACTGGCTCAAAACACTTTCAGCAATTATTTTTGCTATAGGGAACGCACTAGAAGGTTTACCTAATGACCACCATTTAAATAATTATTTTCCACAATTTTAAACTTTATCCGTTTTCGGGACTTATCCGGTTTCTGGAAAATGAGTAATGAGAAACGAATTCATAAAGATTATATGGCGTATTACACGTGCAAGAGAATACTCAGCAGAAACTGGGACCTAAAACCGAATATAGTCATGCAGATGTATATGGCCGTCAGTAGGCCAATTCTTACATATGGAGCACTGATTTAGTGGCCAGCATTAAAGAAAAAATATAACATCAGAAAATTAAACGGAATACAGAGGGCAGCCTGTGCAAGAGCTACCGTGGCTATTAAGTCATTTCCGCATGATGGGCTTTATATGCTCCTGCATCCACTACCTATAGAAAAGTAAGAACATTTTCTGCTATAAGAATTAAGGAGATTGGGCGGTTCGAACAGGAAGAGTTATGGACATAGCGATATTCTGAACCAACACGATACTAATTTAAATAAATCATACTATATCCTCCCAAGGTTAGATTATAACAGTTACTTCCAGGTTAGAATACCTTCTAAACGTGAATGGAGGAGCGATTTAGTAGCGGAGTTGAATGTTATATCAATCTATGCTGACGGTTCCAAAATGGAGTGCGGAGTAGGGATAAAGGTATACTCAAGAAATCTTGATATATCTCTCTGTAACCGTCTACCAAACTCAGCCAGCATTTGCCAAGCAGATATACTCGGTATAGAAAAGGCCTGTGGAGTTCTACTGACTGACTACGGGAGGATATAGAAAGCAACCATATGCACAAATAGCCAAGCGGTATTGATAGCCTTGCCGTTGCAAAATATTAACCGCAGTCAACAAATGTAGAGAGGTCTACTTTACTTGTCTATATTTTAAATTCCCGGTCACAGGAGTTCGCCAAGTCAGAGGCCACTCTAGACGAATCCGAGGCAAAAAAAAGACCCGCTAGGAACGATCAAGGGCAACCAAATACACAATTTGCACAAATATCATAGAACAGATGGCAATCTATAACCAAATGCGAATAGCGAAGCAGATATCGTCAAATATAATATATGATAAAACAATAACTGAGGATTTATTAAAAAGGTCCAGGAAAAGTATATATAGACTCACAACTTCCCGATTTTGAGGTATCGATCTGAAACTTTGCACATGTCATTTTCTCGCAAAGAAGCTGTTCATTTGTTGGAACCGTCGATATTGGAGCACTATAGCATATCGTTGCCATACAATCTGACCGATTAAAATCAAGTTCTTGTAAGAAAAACTTTTTTAATTGATTGACAAGATATCTTCACGAAATTCGGCATGAGTTATTATCTAAGGCAATAACGCCATCTCCGAAGAAATTGTTTAGATCGGAGCACTACAGCATATAGCTGTTATACAAACTGAATCGTCGGCATCAAGTTCTTGTATGGAAAACCTTATTTATTTGACAAAGCATCTTCACGAAATCAGGCGTAGATTATTATCTAAGGCATCGCTATAAACTTCGAACATATTGTTCTGAGAGTGCCACTGTAGCATATAGTTGCCAAACAAACTGAATCTTCGGAATAAAATTTTTGTATTCTTTTGGAATCTTTTGTATTAGTGATAGGTATTATAGCCTCGGTGCAACCAAAGTAAGCGGTTTTCTTGTTTTACTGCTAAACAACAAACACAATAGCTCTGAACATTTCTAAAGGCACCAAACCCTAATCTAAATAAATTACAAATGTATGTAGCTCTTTGATTGCCTATTTATCAGGCTTTAATTTTGACTTTAACGCTTGATAGCGATATTAGACACACATGCACACATGCATTTTTCACAGCATTAACTAGTATTATTAATATTTGATATCATTAATTCACAAATAATTAATAACCCCGATTTGCATAGAATAATGGATATCTTTATTAAACCTATTTCTGTATGCTGTGTGTGTGTGTGTGTGTATCGGCACAAACACACCCAAACATGCGCTTGTACTTACATGATTAGCAATTATGTTCGAATTTCGATAAGCTACTTATTACTTATTATGCCTATATTCGATTTAAAATTATCCACAATATTAAAAACACACATACGTATGTGTATACATACACATACATATATGTATACATACACATACATATATGTATACATATATACATACTTTCATACATATAAAACATTAATTGTGTGCATCTGTGTAATTAGAGATTTATTGCACTCGAGCACACACATGCACATTTACAAAGTCATGTGACACCATGAATGCATTTGCTGACATTACCGGCTTATCAAAGTGCCTCCTTACGCTGAGCAATTAGACAAGGCAATTGTTGTATAAGTACCGTAAGTAATTGCAAATCTAGTTCACTTGCTCGTATGGATTGCATTCTAGGCACTGAGCAATTGTTTATTTGGCACTTTGGCCATTTGTTGTGTAAACAAGCAGACATATAAATAATTTAATATGCAGGTGTTTATGTGTGTGTGTGTGTGAGCTTAAGGCATGAAATGACCGCATGACAAATAAAACAAATTAATTAGCTACTATAAAAGGCATAGCTGCCAGAGCAAACACACACGCATATATACACATATATATATATATATATATATATATACATATAAACCGAAATTACACGCATGTATGTGTGTGGCTTAGGCAAATATTAAATGCTGTAATGCACTCATGTGCTGTACTCTACCGAAAACAACAACAATAGCAACCCAGTAATTAGCAATAGACACATTCGACAATGATCTCAACGACTGCTGTGCAATATCTGCTATTATGGTGCTGCAAATAATAGTATAGGCATATTCGGGTGGTTCGTAAATATGTAAATAAAAATAATTGTTAAGGCTGAAATCTGCCCCTAGGGCTACAACAACACTAAATCTCAACTAATCAAATATATAATATAATTTCTAAGTTTTGGCGTCATTAGGGTGTGTCGTAAGGATGTCGAATTGCCAATTTCTCCATACAAATTTAAAGAACTACTATTTTATGTTTTATACTCATAACCTATAACTACATTAAAGTCAAAGGTTAGATTATTTTATATTGGCTGACTGTCACCCCACACATGAACCTATAGGTTCTTTGTTATGTCAGACGGCGGTTCAGTTTAAGATGAGCTGAAGTTTTTGTCCACGCTTTTTGTGAAGTTTAATTGAGACTTAATATCTAATTCTGATAATTCACCAGTTCCTTAAACTTCGAACCATCTAGATATCTAAGCCGAGTTCTAAATATGGCCGGGCAGAAGTAGAGGAGGTGTTTTAGCGTCTCTCATTTGCCGAAGACACTGTACTTTCTACATACGTCATCGTTAATAATGCCTGTACGGCTCGCATGTGATGCCAGTACGTGAGACTTTTCCGAAATTTTGTTATATATCGCTTTCAGCATCCTGGGTATTTCCTGAACAAGTTCGGTAGCCAAACAGATGGCACTCTTATTTACTATTTCCTTTCGAGGAATGTCATTATGACCTTTAACCTAGCATGTATGCGGCCGCTTTCCGGCAGCCACTATAGCTACGGTTGTCCTGCTTCTAAGGACATTCTCTGAAATTATTGCTTTAATTGCCGCTTGGCTATCAACGTACATACTGATGTTCTTTACTTCGTTTCCTGCATTATTAGCTATCTCACCAGCTTTTCTGAGCGCAAAGACGTCAGCCTGGAAGATACTGCAGTATTCCGACAGCTTAAAGAGTCGACTGAGATCTAGTTTTGAATCGGTCCGTGTAGATGTTGAGAGTTCTGCTTGTTAGTCGCGTGCCTCCAACATCTTTTAGTGAAACTTAAAACTTTCTCCTACTCCCAGGTAATTGGTATAATCTTCAGTTGTTAACTCTAGACCGTTGAGTCTCGGAGGTTTAATACGGTCAAGAAACCATGTCGAAATATGTATCTCTTTCGAAAATCTCGTTTAATCTTCTGTAGAGAAATTTATTTTAATTATTTATGGACTAACCTAACGTAAATGCATGAGGCTGACATAAATCGTTAATTGGAATTTTTCAGTACCACCCTAATACAAACCATACATATATGCTTATATATTACATATTTCTTAAAACTGTTATGTTTGTAATATAAACAATATATTCTGCATAAATATAATATCAATTAGAAGTTGAATTGAACAATTGCTTGAACTGCGTTCAATGTGTGTGTCGAAAGTCAAGTGCAACTCTGAGCTCTGAAATACTTTACTTATTTATTTCTTGAGGAATATTTTATAAATAGTTAACGAATGTATTACAGGACAAATTTGTTAAAGGTCGAATGAAAAAGCTTTCCATGCATGCATTTGATTCCGATCGTGCAGTTTCTGCGGAGTTTGCACCATTGCATATATTCCAAGCCGATTTCATGGAGATATCACGTCAAATAAATAAGTTTATCACACAAGTACATTATTCCGATTGCTCAGTTTGTATGGCAGCTATATACTTTACTGGTCCGAAATCCGCGTTTCCAAGAAATGAGCAGCTTCTAGTGGAGAAAAGGGTGTGTGCCACATTTCAGTTCGATATTTTCAAAACTGAGGGACTAATTCACGTATATTTAAACGGACAGATAGAAGGGCATGGCTACATCAACTCAGCTAGTCATGCTTATCGTTTATATATGTATGTATGTACTTTAAAGAGTCTAAGTCGTTTCCTTCTGGATTATACACACTCGTGGCAAATTTAAAATACCCTGTTTTGGGTATAAAAATGCCTTTTCAATAAAAACGGTCCCAATCGACCGGCAAAAGTCTGAC